GTGTTAGAACGAGCCGTTTTAGGGGGGCGTGGCTGACTCTTAACTTTTATAAAGAATATCTCTTTGGATTTGAGACTTTAGTCTTTGCAACTTTACAGATCTTCTTTATGCACCAAGAGCTTGTAACACTCCAAAGAGAAAGGACAACTTGAAATCGCATCATATGACCCCTTTAAAAGCAAGATTGAGAGACAAAAAGACCACAAAAATAACAATTAGCATGCCCACTGAACATTTGTCCCACCCCATATAGGTTTCCTTGTACTGGAGACAGTTTAGACCCATAGATGTTCAGTAGTCAGAGATGTATATAGTCTCAAGGACAAGCCATACTCTGAGCCAACCGATATATGAATTCAATGATGCAATGTTTTTTATAATAATGTCTGCAAGGTTCCTATCAGTGCAAATGTGCCATTAAATGCGAATCAATGATGTCATGCTCTTTCCCTCTACCGAGAGAAATCCAGATGGGCGTTTGGCCCTCTGAGTTTGACGCTTTTAAAATGTCAAAACACAAACGGAGTGTTTCAGCTTTGAATTTTCAACTTGAATTTGCTATATTGGCCTTGTAAGGAGTCAGCCATTGTACAGAACAAGAACAATTTTATTTGTAAAGAGGAAAGAAAAGGGCATGTTTTATATCTATATTCTAGAAATATAGGATAGGAGGCAGCAGGGGTGTAAAGTACTTGAGCGATTGTACTTCATTACTATAAGTATTAATTAAAACTGAATATTTACAGAATTGCATTTGTAAGAAAAATCTTATTTTTTATTACTCTGTACAATTTAATTATTTAAAAAGTACATTATTTCATTGGCCATCATGACAAAAACCTGAAAGTTGAAATGTGTTGTGTAAAATGTATTGTTTATATTACCGGTATATATGCATTGTTGAAGACTAATACGACTGAAGGGAGAAAACAGTTGGTGATCAGTTTATAAACCAGTGTTGTTATTAACTAAAACTGTTTAAAAAATGTATTCATTAACTGGAATAAACTAAAAAATAATAGAGGAAAAATGTAAACTTGAAAAAAATTTAATTTTTCATATTGCCTTGGCAACTAACTGAAATAAAATAAGTCTATGTGCTAAAATTACTAAAACTGAAATAAATATAAATTATACAATAAATAATAATTAAGGATAAAAAATTATTCCAAAATAACATTGCTATTAACAACTATACTCACATGTCAAACATCTATATCATCAATTTAGGCTTTTTATAAAGGGGATATTGGATGCCTATATTCCACAAGTTGGAATATTTATTTTACCTTGTCAAAAACAGGTCTGTTCACAGCGACTCGTTTCGGTGCATTTCTCTAAGTGATAATGAGCTACTGCTCACCCCACCCATCTCTTCCGTGGGGCATATCGACACAAGATGTGTGAATTGCTGCCTTGGACTCTGTATATGGCTCGGAGGTGGTCTTAAAGGTGGGGTAAGCGATTTCTGGTAGCCAATGTTGACATTTGAAATCACCAAAACAAACACACCCCTACCCCAAAAGGGTCTCGCTCCGCCCCACACATACGTACGCAACCCAGGCAAAGATTAGTTCTGTGAAACAAAGCAAAACCAATGTTACACTGTGTCTACATCGGACACGAGTGGCGTGGCGCGACAAAATACTATGGAACTCATTATAATCAGTGATGCTGTCTACACCATAGATATATATACATATCTATGGTCTACACTGGATGCGGCACGACGCGACAAATCCCCGACAGAAAACTGCTGCTGCGTTCTATTCATGACGTATAGACACAAATTTCAAATGATTTTCAATGGTCGCTTTGTCGTGTCCAGTGTACTAGATGGACTTTAGCTGTTGCGGCGCAGACACGGTGTTACTCAACTATCGAGAAAAAACAAAGCAACCTCAGAGTCCGATCGCAGGCCTTCCGCTCCTTGA